ACTTCTTCTTCACTCAAGGCCCACGAGCACAGGAAGGGATCATTTTTCTTAACAAGTGCCTCTGTAGTGTGTCTGCTTCTCTGGGGATGGGGGAGGCGTCTCCACTCATTGCAGAATAACTCTCTAATAGGATTTTGGTTATGAGACTCATAAATCCCAGACCACCTTCTGGAATGGAAGGGTTTATGACTTCAAGGATCTAAATATTTTACATAATTAAAATGTTTTCAATGTTCTCACCAAGGGCAGATTTGTAAATCTCAGATGATTATCTCTTAGCGAGGTTTTCTGTCTGTTGGTTTTTCTTTTTGTGGAAGCCTCGGAACAAACCTGCCTGGGCTCGAGGTTGGAGAGACATGGTTCTTTGGGCAGCTGTGCTCTCTCCATCTGTGTGACCCAGGGCAGGCCTAAGGAGAAGTGTAGCCATGAGCAACGTGTAGAAATCCTACTCACGCCCAGAGCAGCCTAGCTCCCCGCTTCTTCCAGGTCTTCACTGGAGCTTCCTTACACATTAAATATAGACTGAAAATTAATGAATGGGTCACACTGTGATAAAGAGCCGGATGACAGATAAGGTGGTTTCACAATGACGACAGCAGTGGGCAGAGGGGGGGGGTGTCTTGGGAATTCAGGGAAAGCTTGGGCCACTGACTTCAGTATACTGGTGATCACAGGATCACTGGACGGTAGCCAAGTAGAAGGAGGTACTTGTATGTCCAGTGAATTCATGCAGCACTTCCTCAGCTTTTTAAGTGTCTCCTGATCACATTATTGCCCGTATGATACTCATGTGTGTACATATATGTGCAGGTGCATGCATGTACATGTGTGTACATATATGTGCAGGTACATGCATGTACATGTGTGTGGAGGCTAGAGGTTGTCCTCAGGACAACTCACTCTTTCTTGGGTGTGTGCAATTCTACTTTTTGTGAGGTATGCAGGGTCCCTTATTAACTGTGAACTTTTTAGCATGGAGGACAAGTGAACCCCAGGGATCTGCCTGTTCCCACCTCCCCAGGGCTGAGAATCCAAGATCCTGGGTACCCACATGGAGGAGGTTGAAAAGCAACTCCCTCAGGTTGCCCTCTGACCTCCACATGCATGCTGTGGCATACACACTCCCCAGAAGTTGTGGGAATGAAAACACTTAGCATAGATGCATCTCTAAGTTTGGGAGGTAGCTCACCTTTGGTATGCAGCAGAGACCCTTGATACTGTGGCAGCCATGAACATCTGTGGTGTTTTAAAAGAAAATGGCCTCAAAGGGAGTAGCATATTAGGAGGTGTGGCCTTATTGGAGTAGATGTGGTCTTGTTGGAGGAAGTGTGTCACTGTGGAAGCAGGCTTTGAGGTCTCATATATGCTCAAGCCACACCCAATGAGGCAGTTCACTTCTTGTTGTCTGCAAGATATAGAACTCTCAGCTCCTTTTCCAGCACCATGACTGTCTGCACACTGCCATATCCTTCCATGATGATAACAGACTCAACCTCTGACACTGTGAAGCCACCCCAAGTCAATGTTTTCCTTTATAAGAGTTGCCATTATCAAGGTGTCACTTCACAGCAATAGAAACCCTAGCTAAGACACCATTTGTACAAGGGAATTCAAGCACCGTAAGAGTTTCCTGATTCTCAGAGGCAGCATTGATGATAAGAAGGCTTAGCATTTTTATAGCCTTTCCAAATGTCTACAGTACTTTCGATTGCTCTCTAGAGAACTGTGCTCACTCAAGGAACTCCAGGAGACACAGGTCTCGAGTTCCTGACAATTGATTTTCCTATTTTAAGGAGAAAGGGCTGGCTGTCTCTTTGCAAACATTGATGCTTCTGTTGCCCGCTGTCAAACTGGGGCACAGAGTTGCTACAAAGCCTTGCTAGGGCACCAGCTCTGTCCTCTTCATCTGCAGTCTGCAGATGACCTTTGCCAAAAACACAGGGAGGAGTGGAGTGTGCTGCAGCCAGGCCATCTTGTATGGAGCAGGAGGTGCTGGATTTGGACCTTTAAGAGACAACTTCCCTATGAAGCTTGGGGTGCTTCTCCAGACTCTGGACAGTTCATCACGCCACCATCACTTTGCTCTCTGGGTGAATCAAATGGTACCCTCTCCACAAAGCTCTACCCGCAATGAATCTGCGAATATATTTCCCTTAGATGAAGAATTCTTTCAGATATAAGTTAATAATCTCGTGGTTACATAATTCCCTAAGTCCAATGGTAAGTGTTCTTATAAGAGTCTGAAGATAAGGCATAGACACACAGAGGAGAAGGCTGTGTGGACAGAGAAGCAGAGACTAGAGTGATGCAGCCAAGGATGGCCAGAGCCACCAGTGCAGGAAGGGCAACAAAAGAGCATGCTCCAGAGCCTTTGGGTAGTATGGCCCTGCTTACAACAGTTGTAACATGAGGGCTTGCTTGTTGGGGTTTCTGTCCTGACCAGTTCCCACAGCCTGTAAGCCCCAAAGAAATTACACAGAGGTCTATATTAATGATAAACTGATTGGCCCATTAGCTCAGGCTTCTTATTAACTCTTATAACTTATATTAACCCATTATTCTTATCTATGTTAGCCACATGGCTCAGTCCCTTTTTCAGCGGGGAAGGTCATATCCTGTTTCTTTGGTGTCTGGACAGGACTGGGTAGGAATGGGCTTCCTCCTTCCCAGAATTCTCCTGTTCTCCTTGACCCACCTCTACTTCCTGTCTGGTTGTCTCGCCTATACTTCCTGCCTGGCTACTGGCTAATTAGCGTTTATTTAAAACATAATTGACAGAATATAGACAATTCTCCCGCACCAAACAATGAGAAAGATTTCTGCTCCCTAGAGCTCCCAAATACAGACACACATACAAACAGACAGACACACAGACATACATACCACACACAAATATACACTAGACACACAGACACTGTATGTATAGATACACAGACAGACACACACACACAAAGGAACCTGTTAATAAAAATGGCAGCACAGGAAGAACCCATAGGAAAGGGAAACACGGGACTGCTCCTGTGCACTGAGAAGCCACTTGTCCCCTCCTTGAGAGAGAAAGCACTGGAACTAATGTGTCCCCGCAGCTCTCTCTCTGTCTCTCTACGGGGTTAGAGAGTGGCTGGTGGCTTGATTCAGCTGCTTGGAGCCTTCCTCCATTTGTATTCCCACCGCATGCCTCTTCCCATCACAGAGGGACTCGCAGAGCAAAGCTTGACATTTTCCAGTTCTTGAGTCTGTGCCCAGAATCAACAACCCTCACCAGGAAGAGGGAGCAGATCTCTAAGACCTCAGAGCAGAATTTCTCTGGCTGCCTGGCCGTGGCTTCCCCTTCCTGCACCTGAAGCTGGTGCTGGCATCTCAAGACCCCAGTGGTGGCGAAAGAGTGGTCCCAGGGTAGAATGGCAAATACAGGCATCCTGTCACCCCACAGCTTCTGCACCCTCAGACTCCACCAGCTGCAGATCAAAAAGAGTTCCAAACGATTCATCGGAGCTGAATGTCTTCTATAGGCCTTCTCCTTGTTGAACCAGACAGTCTCACAACCGTTCATGTAGCATTTATGTTGTAGTAGACATGATAGTCATCTAGAGGTGAATTAAAGTACGTGAGAGGCTGGGTGTGGTGAGAATGCCTGTAATCCCAACGGTTGAGTGGCCGAGTAGTGGGGGGGGGGGTTGCTGTGAGTTAGTGATCAGCCTGAACTGTATAGAAAGATCCTGTCTCAAAAACAAATGGGAGAAAACACTCCCTAAAACCAAACAGATTGTCAACAATAACAACAAATAAAATGTCTCCAGGAAAGCCGGGCGATGGTGGCGCACGCCTTTAATCCTAACACTCGGGAGGCAGAGCCAGGTGGATCTCTGTGAGTTCAAGACCAGCCTGGTCTACAGAGCTAATTCCAGGACAGGCTCCAAAGCCACAGAGAAACCCTGTCTCGAAAAAGCAAAAAAAAAAAAAAAAAAAAAAAGTCTCCAGGAGGGTGTATATAGAACCCCCCCCCCCCCCCCCCCGGTGAATCCTATGGCTTTTGTGTAAGGACTTAGAATTTCTGTATCCTTGGGGTCCTGAAATCAATCAGTTCCTCATAGGCACCCAGCATGTCTGTATTGATTCAGATTTAGTGATGTTAGGAGAGTCCAGTCAGTCTGTCCCTTTTGCTCAGGACTGCAAACCTTAACAATGGCAAAATGTGGTTTAGGGAATGGTTTGGTATTTGCTTTCTGGCCATTTTTTAACTTTTAATATTTTTTTTATGATTTCCTTGAGACCCACATGGCTTCACAATGACACCCTTATCCACAGAAAGATTCACATTACGTACGTGTGGGAAAGTTGCCCCAGTGTAGCTGAGGTAACTTGTGTGTGGTATGAGCTGGGGTGGTGCCGGGAAGGCCAGAAACAGCTGCCCCCCATCGCTGCATTTCTCTCCCATTCTTTCCACCCCTGTCCAGTGCCATGGGTTTCCTAGTCCGTTTGAGGTCTTCATAAGCAGTCTCATTTAGGTTTATGGAGTCTAGACTAAGCTATTATCAAAGCCTTGCGACCTTTGTGCTCAGAAAGCTATAGGCCAGGTCAGGCACCTGTCTCTGAGTCGGTCTTCCAGAATCCCAGGAGTGACCTCATTCTTGAAGAAGCTCCTGGAAGCTCCTCTTGCCTAATTTTAGGCATGTCCTCTTTTTCTCCTGATGGAAGAGGGAACACACAACCCTCCAGACTCTAAGAAATTCCCACTTGGACTTTTAGCTCTAACTATTTTTACTCTGTGTGCATCCCCTGCGGGCAGTGCCAGGCATGAGTCACACACTTGCTTTGGGGCTCTCTCCAGATGGGAAGGCTCTTTCCATGGAGCGTGCTGTGCTGTTTGAAGAGGACTTACCCAATGAGCCTGCCTCAGGAGTGCTCAAGCTCTCCATCCCTCACCTACCCCTTCTGCTTGCTCCCTGGTACCCCTGTGGTCCTTGAGGGGACAATGGAGCTCCAGGCATAGGGCTTTCTTGTAAAATCTGCCGAGTCAGCATCAATATTATCTTCATCCACTCTGGTTGCCATGACACCTTGCGAGAGAGGGCGTAAAAAGGATCAGATCTACGGCAAGAGGAATAACTGAAGTCTCTTACTGCCAATGATGCTGGTAGATGGGGTACCAGTGTGCTCCTTCAGTGAAGATGCCGGAAGCACCCTGAGGAGCTCCACTCTAGCAGCAACAGTACCCTCCCCCACTGCCATCAGGTCCATATGAGGTAAGGCTTATTCCTCCTACTAACAGTATTTTGACTCCTGTCCTTAATGTCCTGGGTTCACCTTTCCTTTCATTGACAAAAGAATCTTGAAAATTTAGCTTGAAGGAGGAATGACATGTCTTGGCTCACAGTTTCAGAGGTTTTAATCTGTGATAGCTTGGCCTCGTTGCTGTGAGCTTGTTGACTGTGTAAGGGTCAGACCATCATGACGGAGGTAGTAAATCAGAGGTGCTTGCCATAGGTTGACTTTGAAGGAAAGGGACGCTTGGGATCAAGATATAACCTTCAGAGGCATGAATGCCTCTGGAGAACTCCTCCCTCCAACCAAGCCTTACCTCCCACTAGTCCGTTTGTTTGTGAGTTCATCAGTCAATGAGGTAATACATTGGCAAAGTTAGAGCTTGCTTGGTCCAATTATCTCCCAGAAGCCTATCAGCTAGGCATCAGTCCTTTAATGCATGAACCTTTGGAAGACATTTGGGTTCAAATCATAGGGGGTCAAGATATGAAATTTGGTCAGATTCCTGTTTCAAGATGGGCAATTCCTTTCTGATTTACATCAGAGGAGAATTGCTTTATCCCACTTATGAGGGAAGTCACATGGGAAGGAGAATGAGAAGAGGGAAGTGTTTGAAGTAAAGGGAGGAGTTTGAGTCCCTCTTGACTGCGTAAGGGAATGAATGTCCCTCTGGGAACAATTGGTTGCATTTGAGCAGAGTGTAGCATACAGATGGGACACTAGGGGTGGAAAGTGGTAGCAAGAGGAGAGATTAAAGGACCAAGGCAAGAACCGTCTGAATCTATTGGTTCTGCCAGAGTCTGAGGTTTATTCTTAAGGCAATGGGAATGGTGACAAGATTTAAGGTGGGCAATTAACGGCGTCAGCTCAATGTTTTGGAACAAGGGCTCTGATTGCCTCTCAGGGAAAAATGTAACAGGTCCAGGCAAGCTCACAGCGGGGAGATCAGGTAGGAGGCTATGGCTGAAGTCCAGGGAGGAACGATGAGCTTGGACAGAGGCCATGACAAGAGACAGGAGATGAGTCAGCCAGGCCTCTGTGGAGGCAAGAGGTAGAAAAGAGAGGAGTCAGTCTTGAACTATGGGTTGCTTGGCTTGGGGAGCCCAAGAGGGGCATAGCCCTCCACTCTGTCACAGAAGGGTCTGGACTTCCCCTATCCCTGGATAGGCACAACCTCCTCCCTGGCCCTGGATTCTCAAGGGAACAGCACATCCATGAGATAGTTCCCAAGACTGGCTGTCCCTTCTTTTAAAGACAGTCCAGTGGATGCACCCACCCCAGAGACTGAACATGGCAGTATTTCAGGGTGACTTCATAATTGTCATGTTCCATGGGTAAAAGAGCTCCTATAAGCTGTTGCTTCTATGCCTTTTGGAACAGAAAGAAAAATTGAGATGTTTCCACCTTGATTTTGCCCGTATCTGACCTGCTATTTGAGGACATTGAACCCAACAAATGTCTAATTGTATTGGACCAACATAGGTCTTGCTTAGTTTTTTTTTTCTTTCTTCTTTGTTCTCTTTGCCTGTTTACAGCACTCAAAGTTTAACGATCTAACAGACCAAAGAAAATACCACCCATGACAGACCACTAAATAGCCATCCTATTATTTCTTCCTGGCAGCATGGGAAAGCATATTTCCAAATACCACTGAAATGAGGCTGTGGCCACGTGACTGGGTTTGGTCAATGTTACACAGCTAGAAAAGATGTCACGTGACTTCTGGACCTGGCATGAGTTCCTGCACTCAACGGGTTTTGCTCTCTCTTTCCTCCTGTGGTAACACTGAAGGCCACATGTGAAAGAGGGTGGCAATCCAAGATGGAAGCTGTTTAGATAGAGTACTGAGTCATCTCTTGGAAGAGAGCCACTAATCAGCTTTGTCTGCAGTTTGAGCAAGTAGTAAACTTAAAGCGTGTCAGGCCTGAGAAGCTGAGGGTTATTTATGTAGGGCTTGCTATCTCAACTAAGACACTTGGTCAGCAGTAAAGCAAAGATTTCCTCTAGGATCATGCAACTGTCTACACTGGTGCTCACTGTCTAGAGCCTGGCATTGTCCCGAGAAGACAGACAGCATAGCAAACACAACAATCTATGACGAAGCATGTCAGCTTCTTGTCGCAGTATTTCAAAAGAGACTACAGATGTCTGAGGGAGTATATGTATATGTACGTACATGTACACATTTTATGGATAAATCTTGAAGCATTTGCTGATAAACACACACTTTGGGGGAAAAGTCCTATTTCCTAAATCATAGCAAAGAGAAATAAGGTAGACCTGGGTATGGCGACCCGTGTGCTTGTGAGACTGAGACAGGAATATTGCCATACATTTGAGGCTAGTGTGGGTTACACAGCGAGATGTTGTGTCAAAAGAAAAATAAAATAGAAGAGAGGAAAGGAGGAATGATGAGAGAGAGAGAGAGAGAGAGAGAGAGAGAGAAGAAAATAAGCAGAAAGAAAGAGAAAGGAAGGTCAAATGAAGACAGAATTCTTCATGCTTCCAAACAGGGTTGTTTTTATTGAGTTAGAGGATAAAAATGATGCTCCATGGGATGTGTCTTCAAGCTCCCCCAGTCCCGTCTCAGCGCTTGTCTTTGAGGAGCGAGAGCACCTTTTGTTAGATCTCAGCATTCATTGCCATCTCCAAGGGGACAGCTGGTACTTTCCCTCTCCAGATCAAAGGCCACTGTGTAGGCGGTAGACACTCAAACCTCAGGATGTCTTTGAGCTAAGAATGAACTCCGGAGAAAGTCAAAACACTGTGTGGAAACAAGAGCTGCGGGGTAGGAGGCTCGCGGTGTCCTCTCTGAAGGCTTCTATTCCGCTGAGGAGGAGAATGAAGAGAGGAGAACCAAGGTCTAGGATGACGCACCACAGCCACAGAGAGAAAAACGCGTCACGGAGAACAGGGCCCTTAAAAATGTCCCTTGGATATCCAAACACCCCCTGACAGTTTATGGCCTACGCTTCAGCAGCTGAGAGAAGCAGAGGTGAGGCTGAGGGACACAAAGAGGGGGATGGTGGCTGGGCAGATAGGGACAGAAACAGGAGGAGGAAAGGGCAATGAGACATGTTTACAGAAGTGTTCCCTCTACCAGCATGTCACATACACACTCACAGTTGGGAATGTCCAAGGACCCATATCATGGCCTTCTTGATGGCAAACTCTCAAGGTCACATAGATATCACATGTGTTTTCTAGTCTCTCTCCCTCTATGAAAGTAACCAGAATGCAATCATGGGGCCTCCCCATGATGAGTTTAATTCCAATCACTCTCAAACTCATCTCTGTACATTGCATTAAGTCCACACCTTCTTAACTCCTCAAAATTGGGATTAAATTTGAACTCATGAACCCTGGAGGACATACTCTAGCCCTGGACCCAAGCCCTTTGTTCTCAGGCTATTGATGAACGTAGATTCTACACTCAGTTCTAGTGAAAGGATTCGAAAAGGCGGGTGCATCTGATTGTATCTTATATGTAATCATACTTTCAGCACAGATGTGGAGAGCTGGGTCACGTGCCATTCGACGCAGCTGGAGAAACCTGAGTAGCGTGCCCTCCAGCCTCAGGTGTCATGCACCCTGCATACCGCGCATTACGTGGGAATAATGGACACTTGACATAGTTGTGAATCTGAAAAAATAGAACAAATAAAGATCCATACACTCACATCTGAAACATATTACATATTAGTTAGAGAGTTGAATTCTTGGGCTGATTCCTTATGAAAATACATCTTGCAGATATATTTCCTCCATTATCTCTTTTAAAATAGTATCCATAAATTTTCACCTTGATGCCCCATTTCTGTGACCTCCTTTAAGGGTGCAGAGTCAGGTTGAAATAGGAAGGCAATAGATTTTTAAAGAAAAGTTCATTCTACAGCTGGACGTGTGTCGTCTGGGGGACTCGTTCTCTTCAAAAGATGTCCCTCTGGTGCTTGGTATGTGAGCCCAAGCATCATCAGTTCCACTCTGTTCATCACCAACAACTCTGTCTTCAGCTCTTGACCTTTGCTTGTGGTGCGCAACCATTAATCTCGCATGTTCTCTCATGCTGAGGGTTTCTCTTTGCTGAGTGTTTAAGCGGATTTGTCTGTTTCCACTGAACTTTGAGAGGTTTATCATGTGTCCCCCTTTAAAAAGGAGGTAGAAGCCAATTACTAGAGCATGGCTGGGCTCACAGGCAGGCGTGGTCAACGGGGGAGCCCTGATTCTATCATCTCCCCTGTGTTAAAATCAGCGAGGGCTCTGCCCACAGAAGCAGTTAGGACTCTGAATCTGAAGAGACGCACAGGGGCCTTTCTGATTAACAATTCTTCACCAAAGCTGGTGAGTTTAGCTACCTCCTGAGGTAGTAAGATAAGGAGCTGGAGACCTCAGGCCAACTGCCAGGAGTGGCTGAGAATCCCATTCCGGAAGACCCAGTGGCTGTGATAGACCTCCCTGGAGTTGACTCTTAGAATGGGCAGGTCTCTTTTCTATGGCGAGGGAAAGAATTATTTGCACGCAGGCAGAATAGAGAAGAGTGGTAGAATTATCTAGTGAAGGCAGGTGTTTGGGGGAGATACCCACTCTTGACAATCGAAAGGATGGGCTCTACAAATCCAACAGCACACCTCGGGCATGATAAACTCCGTCTCAGCGGCTGGTGAGTTGTTTATTTCCTGTCTTATATAAAGTTTCCATTGTGTCTGGTAAAAACAATCCCAGCTCAGTGTAATTATTGAACAGCAGCAAACACACACCTTCCAGGGAACGTCTACAAAGCTGTCGTCATATCTTAAAAAGTTCTTTGTAGGATTAAAAGCTAATGGGGCCAGGAGGATTAAAAGCTAATGGGGACAGGACTGCAAAGAAAAAGGTCACACACTCCCCGAGGCTTAATCTCCATCAGAATGTCCCTTTTCCATATTTTAGCTACCCAGATGCTATCCACCAGGCACTCTCCCCATGAACTTCCGGGAGGGCC